TGTTGTACCATTTTTGTAAAGGTGGCTGTTAATAAGATTTGAAACTTAACTAAGTTTTTTCTTCACTCTAAGCCCAAACAGCAGTGGAAAGCTGGTAGTGTGGTGGTGATGGTGATACCAGGGATTGAGCCCTAGGTCTTATGCTTGCTCAGCAAGGGCTGTACCACTGAACTGCATCCCCAACCCTTTATTTTAATTATTTTTATGATTCTTTGGAATTAAACACAGAGATGCTGTACCACTGAGCTATATCTCTTGCTCTTTTTACTTTTACTTTGTTAATTTTGAAATAAGTTCTTGCTAAATTGCTCTTGCTGGCCTCAAATTTGTGATCCTCCTTCTTTACCTTTCCAAGTACTTATTTGGGATTGGAGCAACTGGGATTCTAGGCATGTATTACTGTACTCAACTAGCAATGAATTTTTTTTTTTTTTAATTTCTTACAGAATCTCATTACACAGATCGGACTGGTAGTGATTCTCCAGTTTTCAGCCTCCCAAGTGCTGAGATGACAGGCCTGTACCACCACACCCAGTCTCATTGTGCCCTGGGGGCAGGGCCAGCATGGCAGGGCAGAGAACCCCAGTACCCTGCATTTGACTAAGCAGGTACTTTAATTGTCTCAAAAAAAGACCAAAAAAGAAAAAAAACCAGTAGTGGAGCTGCGGATATATCTTGGTGGTGCAGCACCTACCTGGCAAGCGTGAGGTCCCTAGTTTGATTCCTGGTGCCAAAACCAAAGTACAGTTATACTTTATCTACTTGAATAAACTCCTTATAACTTTTTAGCAAGGCCAGGGAGATGGCTCAGTGGAATAAGCACTTCCCTGGCAAGCACAAGGGCCTGAGTTCAATCCCTGGTTCCGGGAAAAAAACAACCACCACCACCAAAAAAAAACCAACTTTTTAGGGACCAGGGATGTGGGTTGGTGGAGTGTTCACTTAGCTTGTGTAAGGCCTTGAGTTTGATCCTCCAGTATGACCAAAGGGTAGGAGGAGAAGAATCATATCTATCCTGGATGAACTTAGTGGAACCAAGAAGACAAATGACTTGGATCTAACTTAGTAGTTAAGCTGAGGCTTCAAAATACAAACTTTCCGAGACTGGATATAGTGGCGCGCACCTGTAATCCAGCTCATGGGAGGCTGTAAACAGGCGGATCACTAGGAGTCCAATCTAGTAGTGAGACCCTGAATACCATGTAGACCCTTCCCTAAAATACAAAAAACAGACAAAACAAAATGTAAACTTTCCTTATTATAATTAATTGCAGGAGTTGTCACAAACAGACCAGAAAGTGACTCATAATTGAAGCACTCATCAAGGCCAAGGTTTTAATGTCAGTTCCCAAAGGCCATTCCAGAATTTAAAATGCCATGCAGATTGAGCTCCTTGTATTGTCTCTAAAAAGCCTAGTTTATGTTTTAAGGAAACCGACTTTAGTATTTGTTGGAGATGATCTTTAGAGCAGAGGGATCTGTATTAAAGGTTTGCTGTTGCTAACATTATTTTTCTAAAGTACCATGTCAGTTATATGATTTAACAACATGGACATTTGTTGTCATTATTGTATTTTTTCTGGAACTGAGATTCAAACTCAGGACCTTGGCTTGCAGACAGGCGCTTATGACACTGAGCTATATCCCCGGCCCTATGACATTTGTTTACTAGTATATACTGTCTCATCCTACAAATGTGATTTTTATCTTTTTAATTCCTGAATGACCTGAAGCAAATCTTTATTTTCCATTTATGGGTATTTGTAACCTCTAAGACACTGCAGCCTATGCATGGATTTTTTTTTTTTTTTTTTTTTTTTAAACTGGGCATTGAACTCAGGCCCTTGCACGTGCCAGACAAGTGCTTATTCTACTTAGCCATCTCCTCAGCCACCCTCCCTCACTTCTTTTTAAGTCAGGGTCTTAATGTATAGTTCAGACTGGCCTTGAAGTCACAGTGTAGCCCAGGCTGGCTTTAGATCCACAGTGATCCTTCTATTCAGCCTCCTGAGGGCTGAGATTGCAGTGGTCCCTCACTTATTGCAGAGGTTACGGTTCAAACAACGATACAATAAGTGAAAATCAGTGAAGTAGCGACCTTATATTTTAGTATTTATATTTTAAGACTTTATAAACCCCACACACTTACAAACCTTTTCCACACTTTTACAAATATTTCTAATATTCTTAACCATTTTCTAAACTCACAAGCCTATGTAATTTTTTTTTTCTGGGTACCAGGGATTGAACTCAGGTCCTTGTGCTTGCCAGGTAAGCACTTATTCCACTGAGCTATCTCCCTAGCCCACAAACGTATTTAATTTTATCAACATACAAATACTGTATGCTACTGCAGAATCCTGTGATATAGCAATAAATAACTTAGATTAATGTTTTTTGAAAACCCATCAACCAGTGAGTCCACAAAAGTCAAACCTCAAGGGCCAGGGAGATAACTCAGTAGAATAAGCACTTGCCTGGCCAAGTGCAAGGTCCTGAGTTCAATCCCTGGTACACAACGCCCCCCCCCCCAAAAAAAAAAAAGGTCGAACCTCAATATAGAGAGGAACTACTGTACAGGCATTTGTCACTGTGCCTAGTTGGGATTTATTTTTTAATATGGGTAACTCAAACGCTACAACTTCACTTAGAGCTAACCTGAAAAGCTGCACAGGAATTCACGACTTCTTATCAAAACTAAAGATGAGTAATTATGTGAAGAAGAAAAAAAAAATGAATCATATGAAGAATTTGTTGAAATAGCAGGGAACTCAGCGGATTTATTCAGAACTAAACATTAATATATGAATCACTTCACATATATGATGGTGTAAGTAAAAGAATATTTGAATAAATACATGAAAAACCTAAAAAGTCTTGCCCTAGCAAAAATTATGTCCAGTAACTGGGAGTAGTGGTGCACTCCTGTTATCCAAGCACCAAGGTTGAGGGAGGAGAATCACTGGGAGTTTGGGGTCAGCCTCCATCCTGGACTCCAAAGTAAGCCCAAGGCTAGCTTGAACTGCATAGCAGGACCCTGTCTTAAAAAGGAAAAAAGTCCAGTGATCCCTTATAAAAGGATTTGTTCAGAGACACATAATATGTACAATAATGAAAAATACCCAAAATTGAGCAGCTAATGTATTTTATGTTTCCTGTTTATTTTTTCCCAGTTTTTAAACTTACTACAATCCATGTACTTTTTTTTTTATTTTTTTTATTTTTATTTTTTTTGCAGAACCGGGGATTGAACTCAGGCCCTTGCACTTGCCAGGAAAGCGCTTATTCTACTGAGCTATTTCTCTGGCCCCACCATGTACTTTTTGTTGTCTACATTTTTGCTTTGGGATGGGGAGATAGCTCTGTAGAATAAGTACTTGCCTGGCAAGCACAAAGTCCTGAGTTCAATTCCTAGCACTGGGGGGAAAATTTTACTTTTATTACTATATGTTTGCAGTACAAAATCGGCTGGCCAGATAACTCAGCAGATTAAAGCGCCTGCTTAGGTGGATGCAGCAGCCGGGGTTGGATCCCTAGCATGCTGTGCTGGCCCTGCCCCAGGGCAAGCTGAGACAGGATTGAGACTGGGTGTGGACACACACACACACACACACACACACACACACACACACGTGTAATCCCAGCACTTGGGAGGCTGAACACAGGCGGATCACTCAGTGAGACTCTATAGACCCTGTAAACACTTACCAAATACCAAAAAAAAAACAAAACAAAGATTATGTTTGTTGTGGTAAGTTGGTAGATGTTCATACCACATCTTAATTCCTTTTATATCCCCTTCTCATCCCTCCCTCCTATTTAAATTTAAAAATTACTTTTGTAAGTCTAGCTTCTAGCTAATGAGCTACAAAGTCTTTTGTATGTCTTTTCACCTTTCATCTTTCATTTTTTTAATTAAAAAATGGTAAGATGTCTATCGACTATAAAGTTTGAAGGTTGTATGTAGTAGCAAATTCTCAAAGATAGAAGTCATCAAATGATATTATTTTAATTGAGCATGTGTTCACTTTGGTTAAGATTCACACATTTAGCCTGGTATGGTCGTGCAAACCTGTAATTTCATTATGGGGGGCGGGGTGCTGAGTCAAAAGGATCTTTGAGAATTTGAGGTGAGCCTGGGCTACTAAGTGAGTTTAAGACCATCTAGAACTGCATACTGAAATCCTGTCTCCAACAGACAAAAAGAAATAAAAAAAGATTCATGTGTTTTACCTTGGGTGACAGTTCTGTCTCTTTCCTCCTCAGATCTTAGTGGGTCTATAGCATCCCCAGATGTCAAATTAAATCTTGGTGGAGATTTTATCAAAGAATCAACAGCAACTACATTTCTGAGACAACGAGGATATGGCTGGCTTTTGGAAGTTGAAGATGATGATCCTGAAGATAACAAGCCACTTTTGTATGTAAAATATTTTTTTGGTTTTAAGAGTGAGTCTGTGGATGTTTGTATTCTTACATGTAATTTAAAGACAACTATGAAAAATCTTAATCTTTTCAGTCAAAGACTATAGCACTTTTCAGTTTTACTAAGAATTAAGAGAAAAAAGCTAAAACAATGAAACTTTTTGTTTTATGGCAAAAAGTAAAAAAATGATAACTTGCCAGGCATGGTGGCACATGTCTGTAATTCTAGCACTCCTGGGAGGCTGAAGCAGGAGAATGACTGAGTGCTAGGCAAGCCTGAACTGCATGAAACCCTGTCTCAAAAAGAGTGATAATCTTTTACCATGTGCATGCACACACTACACACATGCTCCAAGCGTCTTTCTTTCTTTCTTTATTTTATTTTATTTATTTATTTTTTCCTCCAAACTTCTTACCTGGGTCTATCTACTGTCTCAGGTAATAATATAGTCTTTTCTTTTTTTTTTTTTTTTTTTTTTTGGTACAGGGTCTCACTGTACACAGTTAAGACCCATAGTGATCCTCATGTTTTCAGCCTCCCCAGCAGCTGGGATTATAGGTGTGTGCCACCATGCCTGGACTCCATTGCTTGCTTAGTGTGCCCCGGGGGTGGGGCCAGCACAGCAAGTGGTGCCAGGAATCAAACCCCAGTCACTGCGCTTGCCTAAGCAGGCGCTTAGTCCACTGAGCTATCTCACCAGCCCTAATACAGTTTTTTGTTTTTGTTTTTTGTAGAATCAGGGATTGAACTCAGGCTCTTGCACTTGTCAGAGAAGTGCTTATTCTACTGAGCCATCTCCCCCGCCCCTATGAGCCATCTCCCTGGCCCCTAGTTTTTTGCTTTTTGTTTTTTAAAAAAACAAACAGCTTTTGGTTGCTTATTGTTGAAATTCAGATTTAAAATGAAGAGTTCTAAAAATATTTCTAAAACCTATTATATAGAAAGTCCATAAATAAAATAAAAACAAATATTCACTTTGGCTGGGGAGATGGCTCAGTGGAATAAGCGCTTCCCTGGCAAGTGCAAGGGCCTGAGATCAATCCCTGGTTCCGCCAAAAAAATAAAATAAATAAAATAAAAATAGAAAGTCCACTACTGCCTTTGGTACTTAAACTATAGAAAGACTTTCATTTTGTCCAAAATTGTGGAATCTTACAATTTTCATCAGGGGGGAGAAAGTAAATTAATAGTTTTGGAAAAAATAATCAATATATAGCTTTGTAAAAACTGAGGCATTTCCAGGTTTTCCTTGTAATTATTAGTGGATTAAAAGCTGTAACATTTTTCATTTATTTATTTATTTATTTATTTGTGTGTGTGTGTGTGTGTGTGTGGCCAGCTCAGCCCACCAGGGGGCGGGGCTGGCTGGCATGTGGTGCTGGGGGACTGGACCGTGGTCCCTGTGTTTGCTAAGCTTGTTCCAAGTAGGTGCTTTAGACCACTGAGCCATCTCACCAGCCCCTGTAACATTTTTCTTAATGTTATAATACTATATTTCATCAAATCTAAGATTATAAGATGAAGTTAGTATACATATTAATAAAAAATACCTTGCTGTGCTGGCCCTGCCCCCAGGGCCCACTGAGACAGCAATTGAGACTGGGTGTGGAGCTCTTGGGAAGCTGTAAAGAGGCAGATCACTAAGAGTCCAATCTAGTAGTGCGACCCTGAACACCCTGTAGATCCTTTCCTAAAATATAAATAAATAAATAAACAAATAACCTAAAATCCCGTAAAGCTGGGACATCAAAGAGCTCTCCTCTTCATGGGAGGATGGGTAAGAAAAGGAAAAGCAATGAAGTTTGCATAAGTTTGACATAAGGTGGGATGTTGAAAGCAAACATTTTCCTTGAGGATATAAAACTAGTTCTGTAGGCTTACAGTCTGAATTAGTAAAATGGTCCCCAAAGTCTTAAGCAGATAATTTAATTTATGGTTGTGTTAAATGGATGGTGTCTCCAGGAGATGGGCAAAGGAAAGCACTTCGCCTCTCTGCAGGCTGGCAACAGTTGTAAGCCATCAGCAACTGTGAAATGTATCCCAACTTTAAAGACACTGAAATAGTAAGACATCTCTATAAAGTTGAGGTAGTTCAACTTGGACAGTGAACTATGGCACTTCAAATGCAAATATTTTGTTAACTTGTGACTATCATACTGCTATTATTTAAACTTAAAAACGTTTTCATGCCAGTTGTTTCACACAGCTATATTCCCAGCACGCAAGAGGCTGACATGGGAGAATCACTGTAAGTCTGAGGCCAGCCTGTGCGGGTTCCATAGTGTAATGGTTAGCACTCTGGACTCTGAGGCCAGCCTGGACTACATAATGAGTTCAAGGCCAGCCGGACTACATAACAAGACCCTATCTTAATAAATACAGGGGCGGGGGAGATGGCTCAGTGGAATAAGTGCTTCCCTGGCAAGTGCAAGGGCCTGAGTTCAATCCCCGGTTCTGCCAAATAAATAAATAAATAAATAAATAAAATACATACATACTTTCAGAGATTGGCTAAGGGATTGAGACAAGGACTTACAATGTATACCCCATGCTAACTTCAGACTTATTGTGTAGCCCAAACTGGCCTCCAATTCATGAGCATCCTGCCTCAACCTCTGTGTGCTGGAGGTGTAAGGGTGTACCACCATGCCCAACCTAAAGTTTTGAATTATTTTGAATTATTTTGTAACTATCATAGTATTCAGAATTGTACACTTTTCGAGAATTATTTTTAATTACAGGGAAGAATTGGATATCGATCTAAAGGATATTTACTACAAAATCCGATGTGTTTTGATGCCAATGCCATCACTTGGTTTTAATAGACAAGTAGTGAGAGACAATCCTGACTTTTGGGGTCCTCTGGCTGTTGTTCTGTTCTTTTCTATGATATCACTGTATGGACAATTTAGGGTAAGTATAATTTTTTTATACAAGTTCTAAATCTTTGCACTTCGTTTATTAACTATAATTGAGTATTTTATCTCTGCCTATTAGGATCAGTCACTTTTCGTTTCTTGATAAAGTATGCCATGCAAAAGAAGCACCATTATTTCTTGTTCATTCCTATAACTATTCTTTGTTTAAAAGGGTAGAGTTCTGCACTTAGAGTAGTACTTTGCAAGGTTTATCTTGTCATTCACATAGAAAATCCTAGTATTTGCAGCACAGTGAATGTGTGAGGGATAGCTTTCAGCTGACTGGAATCAACCAGTGGCCAGAAGAGTTTACCCCTGTCCTTATGTCTTCCCAGAAGGATGGAGTTTAATACATAATTATGTTCCTACCTTTTGTTTATTTTTAAATTTTTAAATCAGCTTTTGCTTGGTATGGTTACAGGCGCATGCCTGTAGTCCCACCACTCAGGAGACTGGGGCAAGAGAATTAATGTGAGTGCAAGGTTAGCCTGTGCTACATAGTGAGTTCAAGGCCAGCCTGAACTACATATGGAGAAGCCTGTCTCAAATAAGGGGAAAAAAGAATTAGCTGTTTTTCCAAGTACATTCATTAAACCAGGGCCTTGCACATGCTAGGCATGTGCTCTCCCATTGATCTATGTCACAATCACTACTTCATTTTTTAAAAATGAACATAACTTTCAATAAATCATGCGTGACATAGATTCAGTAAGTTTTCTGAGTTTTGTTCTGGTTTTTGTGTACTGGGGATTGAACCCAGGGCCTTCACACTCAGCTATTTTTTACTTTTTAGTTTGTATTTTGAGACAGGGTTGCACTATAATTGCTAAATTGCCCAGATCAAATTTATGATCTTTTTTCTCAGCCTTCAAGAGTGCTGAATTATAGGCATGTCCACCACACACAGCTCTAGTATTTTTTTTGTTTTGTTTTAAATGCATTTGGTTGTTACAGGGTTTCACTGCAGCTTGGCCTTGTAGTGATCCTCCTGTTTTCAACCTCCCCAGTGCTGGGATTACAGGCATATGCCACTATGCCTGGACTCTGGCTGGCCAGCCTGCCCTGAAGGCGGGGCTGGTGCAGCATGTGGTATCAGGGATCAAACCACAGTTCCTGTGATTGCCTAAGCTTGCAGGTATTTTAGTTCACTGAATTATCTCACTGGCCCTAGTATTTTTTTTTTTTTTTTTTTTGTAATATCATTACTGTTATTTTAATCACTTTGTCTTACCCTCAGGATCTTTACCATCCAAATAACATACACACATCACTATCCCCATTTAGGGAACTTTTTTTTTCCATTTTATGCATTTGGCACAGGGTCTTACTACACAGTTGAACTTGTAGTGATCCTCCTGTTTTTAGCCTCACCAGTGCTGGGATTACAGGCATATAACATCATGCATTGACTCAGTCGCTAGCTCAGCACACCCTAGGGCTGGGGCCAGCACAGCATGCAGGACTGGAGCTCAAACCCTGGTCCCTGCACTTGCCAGAGCAGGTGCTTAGTTAGCTGAGCTAGCTCGCTGGCCCTTATCTCCACTTAAGTGTTTAAGGAAATGTAACTCTTCAGTGACTTGGAAGTGAATTAATGTTAGAAGCACATTAATTTCTTGTTCTTGTAGCAAGTTGCTGTAGCTTATTTTCTTTATTTTTTTATTTTTTTATTAAATTTATTTATTTGTGTGTGTGTGTGTGTGTGTGTGTGTGTGTGTGTGGCCACCTCAGCCCACCAGGGGGCAGGGCTGGCTGGCAGGTGGTGCTGGGGGATTGAACCGCGGTCCCTGTGCTTTGCTAAG